ATATTTACATCAATGTAAATTAATTTTAATCTCAATTTTTTACTTATTTACCTTTGCATAGTTTTAAAAATTAGAAAAAGGCTGAGAATAAATTAAATAAAGATTAAAATTAATAGACACATTTAGAAATGATAGAATACATTTTCTCAATGTATTGCTCAAAATTCTTCTATATGTCCTGGCTTTTATTACTCGCATTAACAGTAAAAGAATCAGCCAGTAAAGTTGTAAAAATTATCAAAAGAACAAGATTATCATTTTAAAACTCTTGGCCATGATTGGTCAATTTGCTTACAAGTTTATGCCTTTTTTTATAGCTACACTGGACTGTACTAAAATTTGTTTTCTCGCTTTTATCAAGCATATATCTATTCTTCAAACATATATCTATTTCACTTTAAGTTTACATACAATAAGTGAACATTGGTTCAGCTATAAAAACAAATTTTTTAACTTATGCTTTTCTACGTACTAGCCGAAGAGCAAGAACTATTTTTTTTTCCTGACAACTGGCGACCTCAAGTTTTAATAGATGCACAAGCAAGATGATAATGAGGCCATCTATTGTACAAAGCTAAAAAACATGCCGTACTGTTGTGTAAATTGTGTACATATGCTAGATACTTATTATTGTTGATATGCAGTCGTATCTGTTCCAATTTTATTCGTACGATTTGATTTAAGTGAAATATATACATAAATTTTCTTGTGACGACGCTGCGTACGTTTTAAACTTCTTCCAGAATGTTTCGACCGGTCTTCTCCAAACCGGGTAAGGTTATGTCATTCGCTCATGTATTTATTGCGATTTTGTCATGCCAAATTGATTTCAGATTTTCATATTGAAATATGCATTGATCAATAACGATTGTCTTATCATTTCGCGCAATATATGTACTTTACATACATACTTTGATAATTCATCTTTGACTATTTATTCTAACCTGTACACTAAACAAAGATCAAGATTATAAAAAAAAAGACTGATTTTTACATTTGAAATTATATTTAACTTTATCAAAAAGAAATTATTTTAGTAACAGTTATTTAAAATGAATAATGATAGAACCAGCTTTCAGAAATACATAATGTAAAGGAGGAATTGAAGAGTTTGACAATCAAAAAGATGCATAGAAGTCTTATCTGATTCGCGATTCAGAAATTGCGAGAAATCGATTATTAATCGAGAAATTTTATTACTTTCAGGGGACAGCATGTGGCAGGAGGATAAGCCTGACATTGATGCTCATTCATCGACACAGTTCGTTTACAATGCGCATCATTCGCTGGCACTTGACATGCAGCGTCAGCGGCTGCCCATATTCAAAAACAAAGAACATATTATCTATTTATTGGAGAAATATCAGACACTAGTGTTGGTTGGCGAAACAGGTTGTGGTAAAAGCACACAAGTACCTCAGGTAAGATTTAAATCAGATATACATTGAAATGTATAAGACATGAGAAGGAGTTTTGGCATCTGTATTATATTCATTATATTTACATAAATATCCTATAATTCCTATAATTATAATGGTAATCAAAGTCAGTATTTCTGTAACAATATAAATTAAATTAAAAGGTTTTAAAATTTTGTTAAGAGAGACAATGGCTACTTTACCAAACAGCCAATGGTTTCTTTATTTACAGCCAACGTGAGATAATTTCTCATTGAGTAAAGAACTTATCTGAAAGAAACGAAATATAATTGCCAAAGATTAAAGTTACCAAAGTTACCCAACCGGTTGGAAAAACCGGCCCTTAAATTATAAAATTGAGGCATCTTGTAGTTACCTATGTCTTAAAATAAATACATAAAATGTTAAAAATTCTCGTTTAACATACTTTTCATATCAGATACTTAACGTATATTCAATATGTATCTAACTGTAATCAAATATAATGAGTATGTTGGAAATATTTATATTTATCATACTATCACAAATATTAAAAATTATATAATGACAAGATTAAATGATAAATATTTATATGAACAATTTATATGATAAATTGTTCATTACAAAAAGTGTTTGTATCGTGTTGATCTCACGCGCGGAATAAGTACTTTTTCATTTGCATTAATTATCTCGATGGATCACAAAGTGTAAAAATTGAAACTCTCAGGCTTCCTCTTGGTTCGCATTCAGTTTCAAGCACGGAAAGCGTTGTACAGCATTTTCCGCTTGTACATACACGACCTTTACATGACTAACGAAATTTAACACCGCGCAGATATAAATAGAATTCTGCGCAGGAGAGTTTGGGTCTAACTAGAATTTAACTGTGAACCAAAAGAGTTTGGTCGTGGAAGATACTCCTCGGGTGAGAAAAGTAAGAAAAAGCGCGTGGAAAGACACTTCTTATCTCGTGCTTGTTTTATCTCCGGGCAATATAACGCGGATCTGTTCATCCGCGAGCGTTACATCTTAACGCGATCCGCATTCAACATTCATTCACAGCGGACGCGGAAGCGGACGAGCGAGTTCTCTCGGATTGGATTAATGATAATCGCAATCGAATCTTGATATTGACCTATTACGGAATAAAAGTGAAGCCCGCAATCGGGGTGAAGGTAAACGTGGGACAGGCCAGCCGTCTCCTACCACCGGTGCGGCCCGCGCGGTTCCGTGAATCGTCAATCGCGCGCGATTTCTCAAGGAGAGACGGAAGAGTCGGCGAACGGCACGTGCGTGATCCGGTCGTCTTCTTTCTATCCGGAGTAGACCGAAAATAATGCGGTGTCATAATCGCGGACACGAGGAAGACGCTGATAATGTCGGCTTAGTCGGAAACACGAAATCCGTCACGAAATTGATATTTCCAAATAATTCAGAACGCGCGCGACGTTGACGTTTGACGCGAGCAAAGGCTGAATGGGACTTCGTCCACGAGTGTCCTGCGACGAAAGTGACGTTCGATTCCGACGGCGCGGATTTATTAATTTTAATTTAAACATAATTTTCGTCGCTGGTCGAAATAATCGCGCGGTCATCACGACGAAGAAAACAATTTTCGCAAAACGAGAGTTTCCTTGCGTAAAAAAGTTGGAGCGATTTAATCTCGAGTCGCTGCTGACGTGAGCACACGTAAAATCAGAGAGGAATAAAGATCATCGAGGACCATCGAGAAAAATGTTATAGCGATCGATCGACGAGGCGACACGAGGGCATGGTACTTAAATCAAATTTTTCGTCACGCGTATAAAATGCAAATTATACTCACTGATAAGATTAAATAATAAGGATAATCATCGACCGCGACAAAGTACGGTCAATTCTTTTAATCAAATGGAAAATGATTGATTTGACAAATAACAAGTCACTGATCAGAAAAACTGCAATTGAACAAACAGAGGTGCGGTGTTATAAGAGGCGAAAGTCCAGAAAGATGATGCGCTTAGCGGCGTTCGTCAATAGAACGTGTCTGTCGTTTTTGCTGGTGTTCCTGATGTACTTCGTCGGGATGGATCTGCTGCTCTACTTCAGAGTGCAGGACTACGACGTGCGTCCGCGCAGCAACGGCACGCACGCGTATTATTCGCCGATCTCCTGTGACCTGAATCCGATTTGCACGGTGACGGTGAAGGCCATGACGCTGGACCACCCGAACCATTATATTCTAAGCCCGCTCGCGTCCCTGGTGGATTATTTGCTGGATATCAGCAATTCCTGGACCTGGCTGACGCCGAACTCCATCAGCGTTTCTCACGTGATGGTGGCCGTGATTGGCGCCCGGTACGTCACGCGGAGTTCCCTTTTTCACAGACGAGTGGGCGTCGTTCTGTTTCAAGTCAGGGCCTGGCTGGACAATCTGGACGGCCACGTGGCCAGGACGAGGTTGAACGTCAAGGGTGAGAGATCGGACGTCGGCTCGGTCGGTTACCTCGTGGACGGCCTTTGCGACGGCCTCGGCTGCATCGCGCTCACAGTCGCGGTGTTTTTCTTCCTGAGACGCAACAATGTCAATCGCCGCGCCGGCTACGAGCGACTTCCCGTACGAACATTATCGTCACTGTCCTCGTCGCCGTCCTCGTCGACGACGTTGTCGTTGCCATCGTACAGCGCCGTTCTCTCTACCTCCATGCCTTGGAAATCACCTCTGTATAGCATGTTGATGGTGGGCCTCCATCTTTCCTTGACGAGCATCGCTTGGAACCGGTATATATTCGTGTATCAGGATCTCCTGGAGTCCGACAGGACGGATGCCTCTTCGACGATCGACCGGCAGGATCTCTACGATAGGCAGACCGTCGTTTTCAGAAGTCCCTCCTTCTGGGCCGTCGCTCTCGCATGGAAGATCTTCAACTTCCACGCGATGATGGATTATATGCTTCTCGCGATATTCTTGGATCGTATTTGGGAATACGTTAGGCTCGCGTGGTGGCAGCTACCCGCCTTTTTATTGCCGCTTATTTTTGTCAGCGAGCTTCACTACATCAATGCCTACACTTACGTGGAAGTATCGTCGGCGAATGAGAGCTTACGGTCCTCGTACGCGTTTCCTGATTCATAACAGATTGTTTCTTGTTAACGCGCCTTTACACGATTCCAATAGTGGATGTTCGATCCACTGAAGAGCTTATTTCTTCAACTCGTCTCGAATATCTACTTCATTTATTAAGAAGATCTATTAAGAAAGATTATATTAGTAACGGTATTATTATTATTATTATTATATATATTTTAAATAAAAGTGAAAATTTAAATGCGCTGCTAAAATTAAAAGAAATTAAAATTAAATTTATTTAAAAGAGATTAAATATTAAGCAGAAATTTATTTGAAATGTCGTCATAAATTATTATTTTATTTTTGAAACCGTTTGATCTATTGATGTATGATTAAAAAGAGTATTAGATATCTCATCTTATTGATATCATGATTTGTTTATTTTTGATACATGCAAATATATTTTTTATATATGTGATACGTGTTATATTACAAGTTGTATTCTTAAATTTTAATCGATATTAAAACGTTTAAATGTTATCGTTAGCGTAACAAAAGTTCTAAAATGTAAATGAAACAATTATATGCAACGCGTTTTAACATTTCCTTTTTTTCTTATCGTTACAACACAAGATGACTTGTATTATATTTACATATGTTGAAGTGGGTTAATTATTGACTGTAGTTAGATATTTTTATCTAATCTCCGTTGCCAAGAACACCTAACTACGCGTATAACGAACATATACAAAAAATTGTTGAGACGTGAGACGAAAAACTATTAGCCTCGTTATGCTTTGGACAATATGCAATCAAGTGTCGACAGCTGCGACATAAAATTCCGGCTAGTTTTATAATGCTACGCCTTGTATTATTTTTATAATGAAAATATGCAATAAAATGTTTTTATATAAAAGTGATTTATCTCTGAAATATATATTTATTTGTTTCATCATACATTTACTTGAAAATATATTCTTCAGTGAAAATATTTTTCAGAATTAGACTAGTAGATTTTTACTACAAACGTTATATGATAAATTTGACACCCGAGACACTACAGTGTCTCCTGATAATAAATATTTATTCACGTACATATTAATATATAATAAATTTATTAATATATACATTTTCATATATATATTTCACATATTTTAATATATTGTCTTTTTACATGATAATATGTCTATATGAACATATTTATCATCGAATATGTAACTTTATATCTTAACATAATACATCTTGAAGCAAATTGATATTGTAGTATGCATACAAATTACTATTTCGCTTTTCAGTATCTTCTTGAAGCAGGATGGTGCGCAGATGGGAAAAAGATCGGCATCACGGAGCCCAGAAGAGTTGCAGCCACATCTCTAGCAAATCGCGTGGCTGACGAACACAATTGCATTTTAGGAACCACTGTGGGTTATTGCATACGTTTCGATGATTACACTGATGAAACGACTAAAATTAAGGTATAGCATCGTTGAATACTTAATTCTGATTAAACATTCAGCACTTAATTCTAATTAAACAGAGTAATTCTCTAATTTATTATATTGTGAGACGTCTATAGATTATATCTTTGAATATTAATAAATATGAATGTGTATAATGTTTTTGGCAAACTGTTTTTCTGTACGTATTATTTCATTAACCGAAGATGAACCTAAATCGTCTTTGCAGTACATGACAGAGGGTATTCTTCTACGGGAATTAATGAGCGATCCGTTATTAACAAGCTACTCGGTCATTATCCTGGATGAAGTGCACGAAAGAACGCTTTTGACTGATATCATAATGGGATTGCTGAAAAAAATAATCAGGGTAAATTCATTGACGTTTATTGATAGACATAATTTCCCTCGCGCGGAACGTGATAAATTGATGCTTCTTTAATCAATGTTATAGAAACGGAAGAGTCTGAGAGTTATTGTTTCGTCGGCGACGGTCGATGCAGAGGAGCTACGAGATTTTTTTAATGTGAATACGACGAAGGACTCGAGTAAAGATAGCGCTGTTATCATGAGCGTAGAGGGACGGTTATATCCGGTAGATGTGTTTTTTCTAAAAGGTACACATACGCATACATACGCACGCACGTAGAGCCGCACTCGTGACTTTATAACTCTTACTGTTTAATTAAGGTCATATCGCGTTACAGAGCCGGTGGCGAATTATGTTAACGGCGTAGTAGACACCGTCCTAAAAATACATGAAACGGAGGAGTCGGGTGATATCCTAGCATTTCTCACGGGACTCGATGAAGTCGATCAAGCCGTCTCTCTTTTGTCGGAACACGCAAAGCTCATAAAAGATGGCAAACGTAAGTAAAACGATGGAGCAATTTCTCTTTCCTGGGGAATACTTATAGAATGTTTAATATCGAAGAGTCTAGAGAAAAGAAGCAGAATCTTAAATTATTTTATTAACTCTTAAAGTTTGATTAAAAGAACCGAGCTTTAGTTCTTTCATATTTCTTCAATAACACTTGAATTTAATTCTCTGTTATTTTATTATTTTTCATTGTTATTCGTTATAAACGCATTAACAAGAGGAAATGTACTATTGATAAAAACTACTGGGCAACTACTACTACTATTTGATAAAAATGGGGAAAAAAGTTTTATTATATTTATAAATTTGTTATTAATTTGAATAATTTATTTTTAGAGAAACTACTTCCGCTACCAATGTACGGATCGCTTCCGAACGCGGAGCAACTTAAGGTGTTCTGGAGGGCCGCTAAAGACACTCGCAAAGTTATCGTAGCAACCAACATCGCGGAAACATCTATTACTATCCCAAATATTGTTTACGGTATATTAGCCACGATATATTAGTGCGCTTTTTTCTCTTTTCGGCGCTTAATTCGATGATATTAAATAATTGAGACTTTACAATGCGCAGTAATTGATTGCGGCTTCGTCAAGATACCTTGGTTTGAAGCGGAAACGCAGACAAACAGCCTTGTTATTGTGCCTGTATCAAAAGCTTCCGCCGATCAACGAGCCGGCCGCGCAGGTCGCGTCCGTACTGGAAAAGCATTTAGGTAAAGAAAACGAATTAGCAATCGTATTAATTCGATAAATTCTTTTTTTATATTTATTCTGAACATAGATGCTATTGCATAAAAAACTGATTTTACAATTTTACAATTTTATAATAGATTGTATACAGAAGAGGCTTACATTGGATTGTTTGAAGCTACCCCACCGGAAATGCAACGGTCAGATTTGGCGCCAGCGATATTGCAACTTAAGGCCCTAGGCATCGATAACGTATTGCGATTCAATTTTCCATCCGCACCACCCAGCAAAAATTTAGTTACGGGATTGGAATTACTTTATGCATTGGGCGCGATCGATAGTAATGGAGATTTGACAATGCCGTTAGGTTTGACGATGGCTGAAATGCCTTTGGAACCTGTGCTTGCAAAATCTTTAATCACATCCGGTACATATTAACAGATTTTTAAAATAATACATTAAAATATAATGTAAAAACGCAAAATTCCATTAGAAATCAGTAACATCTTGCAAAGTCGAAATTTTTTAGCTCTGAAAAAATATAAAATATACAAATGTACAAATGTACAATGATTGTAATAAATTATACACACACACACACACACACACACACACACACACACACACACACACACATATATATATATACATATATATATATATATATATATATATATATATAATTATAATAGTAATAAGTTTTCCGCTAATTGATGATAGGTGAAATGGGATGTTCCGCGGAAATCACGACGATATTCGCCATGCTACAAGTTCAGAATGTTTTCGTGCAACCTGGCGGAGGGCAAGCGGCTCTAAAAGCAAGAATAGCGCACCGCAAATTTGAGGTAGAAGAAGGAGATCTTCTCACGTTGTTGAATGTTTATACAGCTTTCGATCAGAATAAAACACCCATTTGGTGCCAAAAACATTTTCTCAATCACAAAGCTTTGCGGAGAGCTATGGAAATTCGCGTGCAGATGCATAAAATGCTTAAACGTTTGGATATTCCACTGACATCCTGCGATGGTAGAAATCTAAATCTAATTGGAAATTAGATTTATATTTTCTAATTTTAATAAAAAAATAATTATGAATTTTTCAGGAAATGTTCAACAAATTCTCAAATGTTTGACCGCTGGTCTCTTTCCCAAAGCTGCATATCTGCATTATACAGGCACTTATAGAACAGTTCGAGGCAACAAGGATTTGTATATTCATCCAAATAGTTGTTTATATATTCTGCAGCAACCGCAATGGTAAATATTAAAAAAGAAATACTTTTAACTTATATTCTAATAGATCTTTATTTTTTTCATTTGATATTATTATATTCCAGGTTATTATTTTGTGAAATTCTGCAAACAAATAAAACTTATATGAAGGATTTGACCGTCATTCAGCCAGAAATGTTATTGGAAGCGGCACCTCATTTTTATGAAAGAACATCTATTGAATCCATTTAAAATATCAAATAAATGATTATTGCAACAATTTTACTTGAGATACGCGCATCACAAGTTTATTGCAACAATTTTACTTGAGATACGCGCATCACAAATTTATTGCAACAATTTTACTTGAGATACGCGCATCACACATAATATTTAACATTCATTCTTTCTTGTATATATGTGTTGTATATATGTCAACTTGTATATGTGTCGTTTAATGTAAATAACGAAAAAAATAATTATAATAAACTTCGAGTATTACAATCTTTATAATTGTAATACTCGCAAAAATTCTAACTCAATTTACAAATTCAATTTAAAAAACAATAAGGTAAAAATGTTGATACAAATCAAAACTTCGAATGTTATAACTTTATGGTTCTTTATACTATTTATTAACTTTATAGTTTCTTATGAATTATAATACTTAGAATTTTTGTGAGTTGTATCATCACATACAAAATTTTAAGAATTTCTGGAACTGTCATTGCAATCGCTATTTCTTGTCTAATTATGTTGTTCTGATATTTTGTTAAGAGATTTCTGAAAATAAATTTGATAATTTTAAAAAGTAGATAGTAGATAGTAATAAATTAAACTTGAAACAGGTATCAGCTAAAACGCGAAAGTGAATTTCAGGCTTCTCCACTATGATCCATACATTATCGGCATGTTATCTATAACATTATTATCGAATATGCATTAACTTATAGTTGAAGAAAATTATCGCTAGGTGCATAGCATTCTTCGTGTATTTCTAGAACTGCATTCCGATACTCACTGTCAGTACTGAAAATATATAATTCATGTCACATATATTATAGATTTTCAGTACTGAATATTCCGGCACTGAATATCGGAACGCAGTCTGAATTTTTATATAGTCCATGCTTGTCCTGAATGAAGATTAGGTTAGGTTGCAGATTTGTTGGAAGTTCCGGTTGATCCAGGTCGATTCACATAAGCTGGGTGCAATTTAAGACGACTACGATTACCTGTCATATTTTCTACCAGTATTGATTTTGTGCCTGAGCAATTATGACGTACGTATCTTATACAAAAATTTTGCAAATTTGTAAAGTAGATTTGAAACTGTCTTGTATCAAAGTGTATAAACAGTATTTAAGAAACCATATGCTCTCTCAAGTGAGATATCGTACAGAACAATGACACAAAATTTAAGAAAATATTGATTATACATTAATAAAGAAATTCTAGAAATTTAGAAAAATATAAATCATATATCTTATACTTGCATTATTTAAAATATCAAATAAACTTGGATTGTAAAGAATTTAAAGTATGAATAAAGTAACTTGGTTTACAATTTAATAAACCGAAAATATTATTCAAATAACAGAATATAATAAATAGCAAATATTCGTCGAAGCAGAGTCTTAAATGCTTAATAATCTTATATTATTGAATTTATGTAAATTTAAAAAATTAAAATGTTATATATAAAATTATATTGTTTTGCTAAATATTTGTCATGTATGACATTCTGTTATTAAACATTATTTTCAGCTTATTATATTAAATTATTAAAACTAAGTTATTTTATTTATATTTTCATTTCTTTATAATCTACCTTTATTTGATATTTTAAATAATACACATATAAAATGTATATATGTTTTCCTAAATTTTTAGAATTTTTTATCATTTTTAATGTTTTTAAAAAGGAAGTATTTGTAATTAACATCTCTCTTAAAAGAGGATTAAAAACTTTTGATAATGAATATCTTTGAAATCAACTGTAAAAAACGAAAAATGATATATAGAAAAATTTTAAATTATAGATAAATAATTTACACACATAGAGAGAGAGAGAGAGAGAGAGAGAGAGAGAGAGAGAGAGAAGAAGAGATTATATAATAATTAATAATAAATTATATATATATATATTTAATATTATAGTTTAGTTATACAACTAATTTTACTATTACATAAGTAAATTTAATTAAATATGGTAACTAATTTAACTTAAATTTTTTATTAGTTTTTGAATTGGTTTTTATTTTATTTACTACATAACACACACACACTACACACACAACACATATATATATATATATATATATATATATATTCTTAATATGTTGCAGGTCCAAAGTTACTTTCAGAATAACTCTCACATCCGATCCTAATCTGCCATATAAAGTGTAAGTGACTTTAAGATATAAATGATATGTCCAATCGCATATGTTAACATGCAAGCCACTGGTTCTGAGATTTTTAAGACTATCGATGCGTTTCTCGCGCTATTGCAATCTCCAGTTGCTACTGAACAAATGACTATAGAACATGTGATGCAAGGTTTCAATTGTGCTCATTTTATCGAGATTACCATTGCCAAAATGCAAGCTGAAGACAAAAAATTACTTTTCGAAAAGTGCTTACGTCAAAAACTGGAACGAAAATTATATCCACATGAGAATATTACATGTTCTGATTTGGAGAAAGCCTGTGACAAATTGTTGGAATGTTATTTGAAGGACAATCATATTTCTACGGTAATGGTAGACGAATATCTAAAACTGTATACTCAACATTTTGGACAAGACAGATTAAACGCCTACCTAAAACAAACAATAAGTCATGCTTTTGCCGTGAACATGGTTGTTAATTGTTTAGAAGAATTAGGAGTACCATTCTCTAGTATGGAAGATGAAGCATTAATCATGTCATGGCAAATGGCATTAGCTAATGGCGATCAAGACGAAGTAATGAAATGCATAAACAAGATGATAAATGATGGTTGTGTTTCAAGATTGGTGTGCTTAACAGTTGAATCGCATGATGATACTATTAAACAATTGGTTACGCAGACCTTTACTTCAAAGCTAGTGGACTATGATTCTGATATATGTGTAGCTCTAGCAAATACCAAAAAGAAGTCGCTTTTAAAATTGCTTCAAGACAGTGATCGTTTTTGCATAGATTTCGTCGATGCGATATTCTACTTTGGCCGAAATATGTGTCTAGTGGATGGAAAATGGCATTCAGATTTTACCTTTGAATACGAACATCTCTGTCAAATGATGAAAATGTTATTAAATGGTCCTCGCGTAATTCGAGAACCAATATACAACAGAATATCTATTGTTAAAGCTCAACCTGGTAGCGAGATATGGACTGATATTGAAGCAGATATTTTTAGTTAATTCTCTAAATTCGATGTGTTTTGTAATATAAATTATGCTTGTATCGTTCTACAATGTAATTTTTGCAAAAAAATGAATAAAATTTTTTTTACACATGGAAATCTGTTTGACAAAATAATCATCGATCCTTTATCATGAGAAACATTTAAAACAAAAATTATGTATTAATTTATATATTTCGATATTTCTCTTGGCATTGTATAAAATAATGTTTCAAACGTTTTGTAAAGTAAGAAAAAAATATGTATTTTTTATTAATTGCAGACTTAGCGTACCAGAAAATACTCCATTCACTGCCGTACTAAAATTCGCTGCTGAAGAATTTAGAGTGCCACCAGCTACGTCAGCCATAATTACAGACGATGGTGTAGGAATTAATCCTCAACAAACTGCAGGTAAAGCTTATAATATGTCATGATCTCTGTTTTTTAATATGAGTATCAATCGTACAATTTCTGCTCTTTCAGGAAATGTATTTCTTAAATATGGCGCGGAACTCAGATTGATCCCGAGAGATCGCGTTGGATGTACTAGATGAGTCGTGTAATGTATTTATTTTTATCGCGTCTATGCATATTGTTTAAAAAATGAAAAAAAAATTATTGCCAACGGAATATTATAAAAATATATATGTATATGTATATAGATCACATCCAATTATAAAAAAATTATTCACATTATTAGTAACATTCCATATATTTTCTGAACTGATTGATATCCAAATTTTAATAAAATACACAAGTCTACTATTCAAATCAGAAACTTCTTTATTTCATATTTCTAAGACATAAGTAAAATTTATATTTATTAGATAGGAGATATTTGAGAATCAGACATTATTCGAAATTTTTGATAAAAAGATTTTATAGCTGAAATACATGAACGTTATAAGATCGAGATATAAAGGTACATCATTATATGATAAAATTATTTAGCTAGCAATGATTTACAGGGTACGAGATTGAGTGATGAGGAAATGTTCAGTATTTCATAAATTTTCTTTTTTGTTATGCATTTCTATCTCAAATCTCGTGCTGCAAAAGATCACGCTTTATTATTCATAATCTGTAAACAGATAGAGCTTGCTGAAAACTACAAATTGAATTATAATTACATACAATACATAATATATGAACGATCAAATGTAATGTATGAATAATCAAATAATCAAATAAAAAAAATTACATTAAGATATGCTATATCGCCATACCTTCTTTCTTTTTTATAATGCAATATAAAGTCAGTAATACAGGACATAAATGGCAGCGATAAACCAAGTTTCATCGTACTCTTTATCTTTGACACGTATAGAAAATTTTTTTAATACTTTCGTAACGTTTTGGAACATCTTATAGGTCTAAAATGTGCAAGATACAAAAAATACTGTCGATAATGGATTTTTGGCACTATGTTGATCAAATATATTCGTGCCGAGATATGAAGAATGAGATAAAAAAGATGTACATAATCGTTATTATTAAATTTCTCAAAGAAAAAAGATAATATTGGCATTTTATATTATTAAAACTTGTTTTTAAAGGATCATCATAGTACCATCATTTTTTTATAATTCGTAAAAACACAAAAAAACGAGATGAAATATTCTGATCTGAATATTTATATGATAAGATTATCGCTTGATAAATTGATAATTATTATATTCGATATTATGATAAAAAAGTTCATTGTAAAAAGGATCAGTCATCTTCTTTTCTTAATTAATATCGTTTGGATCTTGCAGATTACTCAATGCGATGTCGACAGAGCATAAATTGAAGTATACTTCACCATACAATTCAATTATCGGCTTACGATTACTTATTTACGCGCTGTATTTATTTTGTATAATGTCTTTTTTTTATATGTGCGTATAAGGATACGAAATATCGTAAAAAACCTCTGCTTCACAATTCTGCGACAAAATTGTCATTTGCTCTATTATCACACAGATACGATGATAGATTATATTATGACATATACATTGAGACCATTATTGACATCTGGTGTATCTGGCCAAAACGAAAATAAATCTGGCACTGATGTGGCAATAAAATAAATTAAATAAGGAATGTCGATTTTTATCACGGAATAAGTTAACATTTAGAGATCTAATGATATTGATTGTAATACTGTTTTTTTTCTCTTTCTTATTAACGACAGACTAAATACTGCTTCGCAAATGGCACATGTTTCGAATCTTCTTTTAGAAATTCATCGTCCATTCTAATATATATATTCGATATATAATGAATTAAATATTCGTCAATAATTGTCTCTGACACAATTGATATTGTTCACACTTGGTACTGAAAAGCATAATAAATATACTAGCATATACTTGCTCTAAGAAGAAATATTCATCCATTGAACTCCCAAACTGATATTCATTAAATAGATGGATGAAACTATTGTCAAATCGTAATACAAATTTCTCAATTCTCTTGACAATAATTAAGCATACCCTATATCTAATAATCTCTACAGTGATATATTATAGAATTATTTGTAGATAGAAATACGTACGTGAGAGAAATTAGCAATCAAAAAAAGATGATTTGGGACTAGAGCTATAATCGCATTTCGATTTTATAAGAACAGTGTTATCATATCAACACTGCATTCTGTATCAAACATTGGATTAATTACATCGCCACATTAAAAAATCTCTTGTGTCTTTGTTCTTTTTGTTTAGTTTTTTTTTTACTTTAAATTAATATGATTTAACAAGGCCTGAATTCTTATTTCTACGCGTTGAAAAATGCGTTTACAAAATCTTAAGCTAGATTTACCAAAAAATGAGTATTGTTGTAAATTGATATAAAACACTGTACTTATTCTCTTACTTCCTCCACAAAAGAAAATTGTTGGAAGTATATCACTCAGATACAATTTGCCTCTTGCTCTATACACAGTAACACTGCGATACTCTTGCCATTCGCGCGATATATAATTCTAACTTATAAATAATTTACGCGGCTTGAACAACTACATTTAGATATTTACTTCATCAGTTTGCATCTATCCACAAGTCTTCAATTTTCACTCATCCTAAAATATAACAAGTTTTATTATTAATTATTATTTATTATTGTCAATTTTTATAGATAAACGAATTTCTTTTTCCACACTTATTGTTTATTATTTTTATTGACGTGTAAAAAAAAGAGTAATATGATTCTACATTCACACATAATATATGTAGCTAAAAATATAGAAAATTAAATTACTACATGATGAATCACTACTTAAAAACCCGAATGGTAACATAGCGAATAGGATCACCTACCCATTCATGTTCCTCGACACCTTCCATGTGATCCTGTTCTAATGAACATTGGATGACATCTCCCACAAAATGGCTCATAGTTTTCTGGATCTGACATACCACACAATACGCTCAAACATGATATTACATAGAAGCAAGAATCGCGTCGCGATAGAAATTTTAACAGAAGAGAAAGATAATTTTTCAAAATAGTTTCGAAGCAATTTTTCAAGTAATTTGCGTCACATCTTGTATCATTGAATAATACCATCAATCGAAAGAAATAATTTATGATCAGGCCTGTGTCACACTTCACAATACCGCAACTCATTAGAAAATCTACACATCAATGTTGAAGCTTACACATGCAGCCGTTCAATTGTGATTTTATTCTTCAACAAAATCTGACATTATAAATATGTAATTGTAATCTTGCAAGAAATAATTTTTACGCCCAATGTCCATTTATAAAGTACATGCAAAACGCGCAAATTTAATTGTTAGTCTTACCTCTTCTTGTTTTGCTTTGATATCCGGATTCCATCCTAATCTATTGAATGGTTGTGCAGTAATACCGAAAGGAGTTGATAATGGCTTGCTTGCAATTTGAGGAGGTGTAACTGCATTTTGGGACTGATTCTCAGTTACTATAAGTAAACATTCATGTGTATCAGATATTTCATCAGACATTTCTCTTCTATCACAATAATATGATATCTTTTACTTACAATTATCCATACCAGGTGGTTTAAGACTTATTCTAGATGGCTGCTTATTGCCACCATTAAACCACTCTGATGCGGATAAAGTTGGTTTCCAGATAACTTTAGTTGGAGGAAAGAGATCATCTTGGAATAATTCGCTCTAAAATACAGCAGGGATATACATTAGTGTTTTCATGCTATTGATTTCATCATGTACATAGTGTATATGTATGTATTAGTCATTCATAGTATATACCTTTATACGCGGTACAGTAAAGCTTAAAGGCTCTATTGTATTATTCGTTAACCTCAAAGCTGAAGCGAACTCTACACTGGCCACGTCACATTTATTTTTTGGAAGGAATGACAAGCCTTGATGCAAACTACTGCATCTGTGATGACTCAATGGGCAGCAATAAGGAGCTTCCTCAGTTACTTCAAATGCATATATCGTGGAATCACCCTAAAAATATTTTCATTTAATTCAATTAAATTTCTCATGTAACTTATTTAAAATACTTGAGTATAAAAAAAAATCTTACACGTCCAGTTAAAAAAAGCGTGGAACTGTCTTCATCATAATATGGCATTAATATGGCAGGTGAGACGTCCAATCCAACAGTATTCAAGGGAGCATTCAAATTGTCCACTTTAAATACATAAATCTGTCTCTCGGAAACTCTGAAAAATATAAATTTTGATAATTTCTTTCTCTATATATTTTTTTTATTATGCCAACAAAATATGCAATTCTTTGTTATACTTACTTATCAAAACCCATTACAACAAGATATTTGCCTTCAAGCGCCCATATAACTCTTGCTCCTCTTGTCCCAACGGGACCTTTTCCTTCTTTCACAGGAACATCGCTTGATCGAGGTTTATAGATTCGCAGTTTACCATCCTTGCATGTGCTGGCAAGGTATTGACCGCACGGTGACCATGCTAAACTAAATATTTGATCAGTATGACCAGTCAATGTGATTTTTGCAATCGCTGTTTCAGTAGATGATAACAGTGATAGATCCCAAATCTTCACGGTCATATCGTATGAAGCGGATGCGAGAACATTTGCCGCCAGTGGATGAAATTTAATCAGATAAATCTTGTCAGTGTGAGCTTCTATGGTGTGTTTCGGTTCGTTTGTTGGTTCTGCTAAACCAGACTCCGGTATTTCCCACAAACGAATTATTCCATCATCGCAAGCTAGCACAAGCAAATATTAATCTCTTTCAAATCTGATAAAATGATATATTTCTTTTTATTATAATTTCCAACTTCTATACTTACCAACTGCTAATCGTTGATTATCAAATGGATCCCATTGAAAGTCCATCACAGTCGCACCGTGAACTAAAGCTGGCATAACACCATCCGGCAGTCTTCCAGTCTTTTTCAATTCCAGTACCGCTATCTTTCCACCTGGACCACTCAAAGGTACTGCCACTCGATCGGGATTAGCTGCAAATTTACGGAATAGAGACGCCCATGTTCATCATATTTAAAAATTTGCTTCAGATCTAATCTTATTGAGAAAGAGATAATTTTACCATGAAAACCATCGCATTCACCGGATATCTGGCGACTGATATTGCGTATATTTTCAATATGCGTAGATTTGTGTCCCGGAGTACCTTTCAAGTGCCGGAATTTGGATACTCTTCCTATATAACAGTCAAAGAATTTGCATTAAATTAAAAAATTTCAAACAAGTTTTGAAAGAAGTTTTGAAAAATCAATTCTTGATCTCTACCAAAAACTGTTGATGTTCTTTTTGATGCTGGCGTAACAACAGGCTCCACTTTTTCCAATTTAGGATCCATGCTCTGCTGTCGTAACATAGGGATAGTCTTCTTCGTTTCGTCTTCTTTAATCACTTCGCTTTTTGCCTTGAAGGAATCCCTTCGTCTCAGCATAGTTGGCGAACCCATCGCTTTCTCTGCTAGATTTCCATCAGTGACGGACACAGATCGACTTTCATAAAGACGCCGCCTTTCAGCAATTGAGTTTCTGTTCATGCCGCCGCGTTCAAAATTCCCAGCATCCTCGTTCTCGGGCGATTCATCTTTCACTTTTGTCTCGAATACCTTGCGTCTTTCCGCAGTACTCGGTGTCTTCGGCTTGTAACCAGAATCGCTCGAATTAGCATCTTCCTCGATAGAACTCGAGTCACTCTTGCCATTTTCCGTGTCTTTCGTGCGATCATTCGGTATTAAAGTTGGCGATTTGTCTGTTTCTGTATTATGCTCTATAGCGTTATTAATTTCATTCTGATAACCATTCGTATTGTTGTCATTATTAGGTGCAATTGGTACTGAGAAAACTTTATCAAACGAGAACTCCTGGCTACTCGACTTTGCCTGGAACGGTTTAGGACCGAGTCGGGGCTAAAATAAAAAAAAAAGCAAAAAATTTTTAATTACCTCTCCTTACCTCTACCCTAAGAATTGTTGTTGTAATGACCGTTAATGATGATATGATAATAATGATGACATGAACGTGATAGGAAAAACTGGCTGTATGCAAAAAATCACGTGTTGTCACAATAATCAAATAATACCCCTTATATAACATTAGTGTGGTTCTTTTTTAAGTTGATTACAACCTTATATCCGCCAATCGCATTAGGATTCACTGATGTAACTACTGATCCAGGATTTGGCGATGTACGAGGACGTGCCACCGGTTTTGGTTCCTCCTCGGAGATACTGTTGGTTCTTGATGCTCTCGGTAAAGGTTTCGGTGGAACGGTTTGTCCATTCTGTATCTTGGTTTTGTCTTCTTCTACCTCAGGTTTTTCGGGTTTTTTCGTGTCATCGAGTTTCTCAGTGTCGTTCTCTATATTGCTGTCATTTTCGTTCACGTTGCTCGGCGCTTTCATGAATCCCTTCGGCGCGGTAATGACCAAGGGTTTTGGCGGCCGGTTGTTCGTTTGTTCTACTTTAATTTCGCGTTGATTGTCTTTGAGCACCGCTAAGTTCCCTTTGTGTACCTGGAGGTACGGTAAATTCCTTAATGACCGCAAACCGCATGCAAACCAAACTACACTGTCCGATATTTCGCACTTTATTTATGTACATTTCTGCATATTTAACGCGATTATTTAATAACAGCGCCAATTTAGCTACATCCACATCATTTTTACATACATATGTACGCATGGCTCGCATTTTTGTACAAGAGACAGCAGTATATAAAAAAAGAACACACAAGCTCCAATAATTAAAGCTTAAAGTATCTCACGATTAAATTTGTGGAAAGCAAATTTACAGAAAAAGATCATCTCATGGCTGTATAGACAGTACAAATGTTTTTTTACATTTCATTACTATTACTTACACTGTAGAATAAGCTACAACATCAATTGCCACTTATATTACACGTGCCAGGAATAATAGTTTGAATGGTGCTAATGTATAAATTATAAAACATATATCGGATATCTGAAACGTGAAAAAAAATATACACAGAATATAGAGAAAGAAATTGAATGGCGCAAAAAAAATGTATATAATTATATGTAATAAAAATAAATTTCCTTTTAATAATTCCGCAAAAGATTAAATATAGAAGATATAAGATATGTAAGAAAAATATTTTAATGCTCAAATCGTATTCTATTAATTTCTTACATTTATGACATGTGATATTGTACTAGCAGCCACTGAAAAATTTAGCACTTTATATATAAAAATACATTGCAAATATTTGTTATATAGAATCGTCTTAGGCACCAACGTTATTTTAGTTTTACGCGAGATTAATATGTGTCTGTCTATTTATTTAAAAAGAAAAATAAAGACAGATATATGTTTAAATCTCGCTTAAAGCTAAAATAACGTTGGTGCAACCGAGCCTTATATACTTAGAAAAAATATTTAAATTAATATTTAAATTAATTTTAATATTTAAATTAAGTTTAGTTAATTACATTTTAACATTATTATTGTTTTCTTTATGGAACTTCCATAAAATAAATGACACCATCCCAAATTAATTCCTTTTTTCGTATTTCAATTTTAAAATATATAACATAAGATTCATTTAAAAATATGTATTAAAATAAATATTGTAAGCAAATGCATTGACATCACACAACCCAATATTGATTCTTGAAATCCAATTATTTTAGAGCTGATAATGCAAATGAGATGATAATGCAAAAAAAAAAAAAACATTGTGATGAAAAGCATGCGATGATTGATGATTTCCAGTTTAAAGCAATCGTATAATTGATATGTACAAAATGAGCAAATGAATTTGTTTAACGGTCAAAACTACTTCATGTGTGCCAGATTATGAGCGATATTTCCATGACATTTATCAAAATGTTTACTCACAGTAATCAGTTCTTCGCCTTTGTTTCTTTTAGCAGGATCTAGCGATATTTTTGGGACAGGCATATTATAACCCTTAATCCATGCTGTTGCATTATTTTGAGCAATGGGACCAGACGTGTCTGGATAAATGTCTGCGTGAAAGTCTCTGTATGTCTAAAATTCAATATTTATTGAAAAGTTTAGATATATGTCAATTCATATATAGATAGCATTAAGCACAACCAACCTTTCGTGGCACTTGATACATGATCGGGATCACCATATTGGAAGTGAGTTGTAAGAGTCTATTAACTTCAGCCTGCATTACATTTAATGCTCGTTTAGGAACCAAGCATACTCCTTTAGTTTGTTCACCACTGTGACGAATCCCTTCTACTAGATATGGATCTTTATCCATAACTTCCATGTATATAATAGTAGTATCTCCTTTCCCAGCAAGGAAAAGCATATTCGTGTCGGAATCAAAAAGCGGCATCAGAATACTACAAAAAAATATATAATACAGACATACAAGCAATTACTTTGACAGTGCAATGTGTTAGCGTACAGTTAACAACGTGATTAAATTTTATTTCCAAATATAAGACTAAATTCAATTTATATTTACCCAGTACTGCAATCTAATTCCAATGTTTTCACCGGCTCGTTTAAATGCCTTAAGTCCCTAATGTAAACCTGACGAAGTCTCGCCGCGTCAAATCCTGTGGTGAGTATTCTGTCACTGTTTAGCCAAACTACTCTGGAATCTTTAATACTTTGATGACTCGAACATGAATTAATGACGCATGAAGATGCACGCGGATCTATAATCCTCATTTGTTTGTCCTTGCAAGACGTCGCTAAAACGGTACCATCTTCCTTCCAACTCACAGATTGGATTACTTCGGTATGGTCACTATTAGCTGCAATAACATAAATTTTATGAGTATAAGTAAAACAGCAAGTATCGGTGGAGTTGTGAAATATTTACAGAACAGTTCCTGTTGCGAAAGAACGTCCCAGAGTGACAGATTGGTGAATGACGCAGTGGTTAGAAGATGTTCGGCAGAAGGATGCCAGCATACTGCTTCTACTCTTCGTTGGCGATGTGAGAATGTACATTCTGGATTGCACAAGGATTCTTCTAAGCCACTTTCTGGGATGTGCCACAACTTTACCTAATTTTATACGCACACGCAAATAAAGTCAATATAACCTTTAAAGAAATGCATATTTTTTCTAAACAATATTTTATTTCATATTGCTTAGAAATAAAGTTCTAAGATGCTTACGAGACAATCCTGAGAACCAGTTGCAAGCAAGCCGTCATGAAATGGAGAAAAATCCATATCTGTTACGGTATCTGCATGAGCATGAAGCAACGGCATAGTCTTGCTCTTTCTGCCACAATCCTCTAATGGTAATACTGCTAAACTGGATCCTTTGGAAGGAAGGAGCTTTTATTTGAGAATAGTTTACGAATAAATTAAATCTAAAAAGTAGAGCCTATTAAAATAAATACAAGTGTACCATTATGATCAACATTGAATGCCATGAACGCTGCGGATGCTGTTATGTTATTTCCATAAGTCTGGTACGATCCCACGGAGATATCCCGAATACAAGCCTCCGGTTTGGGCACAATCGGCGCTGCATTTTTGTATTTGGAAGCTTTGAAACGCCAAGCCATTTTGACACTAGTAACTCAAATTTAAATGTCCAGCACTCTGCTTAAATCATGTAATCTGGAAGAAGAAAAAAACAAATTAAATCATTATAATTTCATTAATTTTGAGACATATTGAGAACATAAACAGGTATTATTTGCTTCGTCTTGAAAAACATAAGATCAGATGTTTGGCGAGAGCGTACGTAAAGAGAATGGCAACATTCGAAGACATACAGACACGACTTTGGGACAGGACAAAGACGAGCGTCCGCGGAAACCCTTCAAGGAAGTGACTCTCGCGAGAAAACTCTGTTTCCTCAATCTCGATTTCGCGCAGGGACACTCGAACACATGCGAATATCTCGCTGGGCGTTGCTCTCAGTGTGGATAATGGTAGGGAGAAAAATCGACGCCGGAATCTCTCTCTCTTTCGCGAGGTCAGGCATTAACGGCGTCGATGGCGGTGACAACAAGACGAGCGACGCCGACGCGATTCACTCGGCGCCGCCTGAGCAAAATCGTGCGTGACTAATAATTTGGGGGTGGAGAACCACCCTTCCCTCCGTACGACGTGGGGCCATAGATTACCGCTTGGCGTTGCCGCAATGACGCTGTCAGCAGCGACGCGTAATCGGTAGGCGAGAGACGCCTGGACGGAGATGCCTGGAGTCGGATACTCACGATTCGCAAAATCGAGACACGTTCACACGCGTCGACCTCTGCGATTACGTACCTCGGCAACGAGTACCTAGGAATACAGCTGGCAACAAACACGAGAAGGCTGACGACAGCCAGGCGTTACCGCTACTCTACCGAGCTCTGACCAAGCTCTACAGTTGACAGCCGGAAGCAGGAAAACCCCCCTCCATCCTCCTCCGAGGCGCTGCACTTTATCCCTCCCTCTCGATGACATTGTTTGAAGTCTCTTGTAGATATATCAGCGATCGCTTTCCTCGTATTCGTGTTGGTCAATATATATCTCAGAATCATATCTATTCATTTTTTTTTTTTTGAGTATATATTTTTTTAAGTATATATTTTTCAATATCAATATTTTCGCAAATATGAAATTACGAAATAAAATCTATGGAACTAAAGAATCCATATAAACATAAAAAAATTACATATTTTACATAATGGTTTTTATATATATATATATATATATATATGTATGTATAGTAAAGTAACATTATTCTTTTAGAAGAGCCAGCTGCAGTAGAGGCATCACTTTTAGCGAGGATAAATCTGCTAACACAGCCTGAAAATAGAAAAATGTAACAATTGCATATAATTTATACCAATATATAATATATCACTTCTGTACCTCTACATTTTGTTGGGTATTAACTTGTAATAAATTTTCTTTTCGAAAACTCAATATTGTTACTGCCAGTAGTGAAATAATTTCCAAAGAATCATAACCGAGAATTAGATCCCAAAGATATAATAATTGTTCGGGCGGTAAATGTCCACTGAAGCCTCTCATAAGCCATTTGAAAACTATTTTTATGCTGAAAATATACACATATATACATTAAATTAACAAATGGATAAAATTAGAGAGAAAAAGAGAAAAATAAACTCACGGTTGAATGTGTATATTTTTGAAGTGGGCCCACAACTGTGGTTCGTGGCATTGCAATAATCGTTCGAAGAGTAAGCAAAGGGCAACTATACCTTGCTCATGATTCGACACGGTATGCAAACGAAACCAATATCTCAGATAAAACGCTCGGAAGGTGTAATACATGGCGCAAGAATCGTCGTACAAATAACAGAACGGTGTAGCTGACATGAAAATATCGACAATTAATCAATTAAAGACCATGTCGTACTTTCTCCGCAACCTGCTTACCATACATCGTAAATCCATGAAATGGAATAACGCCACTTGGTGGAAAGACCAATGTATTTTCTAATGTCGCCGGTTTGCCCTGCAAAACCGCATGGATTACTTGACCCCCGGCACTTCTGTCTGTTGTAACCGGCGCAAGTATTTCCGAATCTCTTGAGAAGCACAGCATTGTTTTATACAAAACATCTTCGAATACAAAGTATTGATCGTCATTTCTCGCCGTTAATTGTACATCCTATAGTTGTATTAAGATACAAGATATTCTCGTTTACTTTTAAAATGATAATATAATTTACAACAAATTACCATTATTATCAACTTGTCTACCACAATATCGTATTGTAAAACCATATTTTTCAATTCCTCATAATACTCTATGTCCTAAAAGAAAGAAATTATTTACATTGATAATCAGAGATCAATCTTCAATTTAATACATACAATACAAAGGAAAGTATCAGTCATACGTTATCTTTGATAACAGATCCAAGAACGAGCGACCAAAGGCGACCGCGCAACGCTCGAGGAGATCCTCTTTTAAGAAATTCTTGAGCAATTGGTGCATGATTCGAATTTAATACTTTTTCGCCAATATGCGTTCGCTCGGCTTCTAGATTTGGAAAATTTTCTGTTGCTGGCATATCGGAATTTATTCCTAACAATGGCATTCCCTGTGCTAATTCTGAATACATACGCCTCTACAGAGAGAAGTCTTTTATATATACATGAAAAAGATAATAAAGAAGAAATTACATAGAAATAACCGAATGAAATTCCTACCAATTGCGCGAGTGTTTTTACACTAATCTGTATGTGACTGAAGTCCCAATTTAATTCGTCTCTGAAAAATGTTTTGAAAGAACTTGACAATGTATGGATATTTTTATTCGAATAAAGCTGACTTCATTTTTATACAAATTTATAATTACACACGGTTGTTTTTTGAACAAAGGATCGCGTACGGAGAACAATACATCCAGGAAATCCTTCGGCGCGTATAACGGTCGGTACTGCGACAAATCTGAAAATTCAAATTCTATGGATAAAGTACAGGGGAGATCTACATTTTATTTTTAAATTCATCACAAACATACCAATGTCATAAGTGCTTAGCTCGTTCCATTTTTCGGCCAGCTCTTCTCTGTCAGCAGTGGGTCTTATACGAGCCAACGGAATATTCAATTCGCTGCACGTTGAGTTCAACGATTTCTGTATGCGTCGTTCCCATTGTATCTGAGTTTTCTTCAAATAGCTCAGGTCGGCCGTTTGTATGTGCGAAGTCGAACGCGAATGCAGCGAACCCTGAAAAAATTCTGTTTATACGAAATTTATACATATTCTAGAATTGAAAGGGGGTCAATCGCATACCCGTGATCGCGCCCAATGAAACACCGTGTTACGGATTTCCGTCTCTAAGCCGTTATCTTTCAGCACTGTAAGCAGGGAGTTCTTGAAATCGTCCTTGTTTACGATAGGTGACGCAACGAGTTTCTGCCACAATAAATAAGTAAACAATTGAGAAGACAGGCAGTGGGTTACCCTCGATTTCGACGGGTTTGAGTATCGACTCGTACCTGTATTTCGTGATAAAGCGCTTTGTAATTCGACATATTCTGTATATCGTCGGTGAGCTTCCGCGCCGTTTTGTCGAGCGAACTCGCATTCTCCGCGGTCTCCTCGTTCATTCTCTATAGTTTCTACGTTCCGCCAATTGTGCGCTCCTCGAGGGGGAAAATCGAAAATATGCGCCATTTTTAAATGCGCATGATCGTCATGGCAACGCGCGCAGTGCCGGACTTGGTCCACAGTGGACCCGGAATTTGAAGTCCACGAGAAACAGATGGAAATGAACGGAGCAAGCACACGCTTAGTCAAACTAAGAACTCAGACATAATGAATGCCAATAAGAAATAAGAATTTAAAAAGTATGAAGAATTTAAAAAATTGTTTTTAATTAATGAAAGAATACCTTGATATTCTTTTTTGAAGATTGAAGTATAAATTCCTATATGTCGAAATTTAATTGTCTAGTCCTAATTTCTTACTTTTCATTTTAATTTTTAGATGTTTTGAACATGTTAATTGACTATATAAATAGCAAGATCAAGTCTCCAAAAGTTCTTTATCTTATAATTAATCAATACATTTAAAAAATTTTAACTCTTAAACTAAAAAAATAGAAAAGTGAAAGTAAATTAAACTGAGCTTAAAATTAACCTACAGATAAAACCGAGCATTAAAAATTGAAAAAAATAAAAAGTAATTAAACTGAGATTAAAATTAAATCAAATAAACATTAATAGAAATGAACATAAGACTTAATCATTCGTATTCCCATCCCGATTATCATAACAATATTCATCAAATCTAGAACATTACTTTTTTAATTGTTCGAATTTTCCATCAGAATGCTCATGAATACTCAAGGTTGTCCCTTTTTATAAGAGTGTTTCAATCTTTTATGATACGATCACTCTTAGAGGGATGCACCCTCGTATGCGGTAGGTCTCACCATATTCGGTTAACTTTATCATGCGATTTTAAGAATTGCCAACTGATAAACTGATCATTAACCTAATTTTGTAATTATTTTAATTAAAATTATTAATTTATTATTATTTGAAAATATTACATTTTATATAAAAAATAAATTGTAATTTATAGAAAATTGAGAAAAATGATGAAAAATGATAAAAATTTAAGGAAAACAAAATAATACAATTAATTTTAAATATTGCAGTTGGCATTTATACAGATCGTAATTTATAGAAAATTGAAAAAATGATGAAAATTGAAGAAAAACAAAATAGTACGATTAATTTTAAATATTGCAGGTGACAATTCTTAAATTTAATCGACCAAGATAATTAATCGAAAAGAGTCGGCCCATAATTTTTTTCGTAAGACAACCTTGTTTGGCTCATGCGCATCACAACACGATTATATCGAATTTCCGGGTCACGAGTTGATTTCCAGGAACGAGTTGATTTCGACCAAACTTGAATTAACTTGTTGAGTAATACTCACATTAACAATAATCAAAATTATTAAAATTATTAAAATTATTAAAATTATTATATTTTGTTGATTAATGATTAGACAGAAAAATTAAATTAAAAAAACCAAAGTCGATTAATTTTTATTAAAATTACCTGCACCGTTTCGTTAACACGGGTAAAATATTATTTATTGTTCGATAAAAGAAGAAATTAAACCAAGAATGACAAATCGAACAGTCGGAAATTTTATTAAGCAATTTTGACGATTAATTAAATATCGGTTTCTATTAATATAGATTAACTTTAATCTTTTAATTTATTCTTCTTTCTCTACCTTCCTAGTTCATAGAACTAAAAAGAGGTGAGAAATGAATTCAACCGAAAATGAATCTCTACCGGAAGAAATAAACGTAAATTAATTGTTGATTAAATCAGAGTGTGGTTGAAAACGAGCGCCGTTTCCACGTTCGAGAGACCTCTCTCTATCAATCTCTTTCTCTCTCTTTCTCTCCTCTCTTTTCTCTTTCTGTCTTTCTCTCTCTCAATGTGCCATTTCATCGGAACCGGAATCTTTCTTCCAGTGCAGGTTTACCTAACGGCGTCGCAAGGATATTTGCGTTTTGCGGCTAAATGCAATCCTATCACGTTGGTCAATTCACGTCTGTGACTGGCCATGCTTTTCTGTAGGGAAATGGCGGTCCAGTAGACCCGGTGTTATTTTGAAAATTACGTCCCTTGCTGTCGAAGCTGCGGACGGGCATCATGGATATTTCGAGTATGCTCGAGGTGCAAGTGAAGGAGGAAACAGACGTCAAGGAGAATGGTGAGTTACACAACAGTTAATGAGAAGTTAGCGACGATAATGCGCGATTCTGATATCCTAGAAATGATCTTTATGAGCGATGCTCTAACCTAATTTCTGTGTTTCTCACTATATATTTTCTGATTTTTCAGTGACACCAAGACAGGATCAGGCGTCCAGCGCGACCAGTGTGGTCGCCGCATCAATCTCTCAGGACGAGAGCAATTTCTACAAACTCATGTTTGGCAGTGGTCAGTTCACTAGACAAGTATTCACATATCTCTGCTTGTAATGAATAGTGTCTAGTTTAATGTCGCTAGCTGTTTGCATTCTAATACCGCGAGTTTGTGGCGAAGAATATGAATATACAAGATGCTTTTCTTTCCTTCCCTAAGGTTGCAAGAATCTTACATCTTACTATGAATGTTTAATTCCTTTTCAGAAATTGCATCTGTACGGTTTCGTAGAATTCACTGTACAGCTTGTGATGTACACATTGGTTCTGCTCCAGCTCAGGTTCACAACATGTTTGAACATCCTGTATTGCGTGTGTTGTTGTGTAGGAACTGTCGTGATTTTTATGGAGATGGCACCTTTGAACAGGGTAACATGATACATGATACCATATTTTACCAAACATTTTTGTATATTGTGTTTTTGTATAATATTGTATTCTTTATTGCATTCATAGGCGACGATGCTACGGATATGTTCTGCAGATGGTGTGCTAATGGTGGCAATTTATATTGCTGTTCGTATTGTAGCAATACATTTTGTTATAAATGTATAAGGAGAAATTTTACATCTTTAGTAAGAAAGAAAATTGAAGCGGATGAAAAGTGGAAATGTTTTGTTTGCAATCCAAGCGATTTGTATGGTGCAAGAGCTACGTGTTGGGCTCTACTTCAACATGTACAAACAGTGACGAGGTATCGTAAAGATACAATGTTAAAAAAATATAGCAATTTTTTCATTAAATTATCATAAAATTTAAAAAAATCCTTATCAAAATTCCATGTATTTCAGAATACTTGCACACGACAAAAAAATGAGCGCCAAGGAGATCGAAGAAAAAATGAATTTGGACGAGGCGTTATGTTGTCCACGCAGGAGCAAACGTAAACGTCGAAGACTTGAATCCACTTCTGAGGAGGAAGATGAAACATATTCGCCTAAAGCCAACGGAATACCAGCAGGAAATATAAAACGTAAACAGTTGAAAAAGTTCAGGCGAACCACTCAACCCATGTTTATTAATATGAACGGTGTTATGAGAGATTCCTATAAGAATCCAATACCCATCAAACCGCGACCGTTGCCCCAGAGTAGTCAATCTTTGGTTACTCCACAAACCGAACCGCAATCTGTGATCAGTCATAACAATTCAATCGTAAATCCGTCAGAAAGTATTGTCTTCTCATCACCTGATGTTGTAGAATCAAATACTTTGCTACCATCGAGATTCGATTCCAATGCACTGCAACAGCAATCTTCCATGTATCACACATCTTTCATGAATACCTCGGGATCCAACACTTATATCCAAAGGCCTGTCACGATAGGTCCTACAGGTCGGATTCTTCTTTCATCGCAGCCGCAACTAGCTTCGTATCAACCTCAGCAGGCGAGTTTGTATCAATCATCGCAACCACTTCAATCTTCGCCGAACACAATGGTATCCATACCACATCCAGTGGATAAGCATGGCAAATCCTTGTTTCTCCTTCCAAAGCCAAAGAGTGTGGATACGATAGTGACTCCAAATATAATCGAACTCGATAGCGACTCTGATGATGAATTGAAGGTCGTCCAGCAAAATAATTCGTCAATCAATGAAGGCAACAATGCGGACATTAATTCTGCCAGTAAGGTGGTACCTGTCGCTCTTACTTGGGAGAATAGTGATGACGATGTGAAGGAGGAACAACCTTTGAGAGAGATGCACACAACTTTGAAAAAGAGGAATCTCTCCTTCAGGAATATAATGTTACCACACAGTCAAGAACTCGACAAACTTTTAAATGATGTGAGAAAACAAGTGAATGATTTCGACTTAGATAATGCAATTGAAAACATTGAAGTGACAGCGGATCAGAGGATCAAGCATTTTTATTGTAATATACGCAACACAGTTGTTCAGTTAGTGCACATTAATGATCGAATATTACGCCAATATCTTGATTGGAGAAGATCTTGGAAAACGGAAAGAGAAGTGTCATCTTCGACCAGTAAAGATGCATCATTATCTGAAAGAAAAATAGAAATTCCTTTAGATATGATTTGCGTTAACGAGTCTGATACTGAATCTGATTGCGAGGATCAGAAACATCAGATCACAGAGCCGTCTGATTTAATTAAAAATAATAACATTGTTAAAGATTTGTTATTTTCTAAAAAGAGTTTTGTGCATCGTGGTGTTGGTGATAATAGTGCGCATTTATCTGTGGATAAAGCGGTACAAGTATACGACATAGTTTCAAGGGATTATGAAAAACTTATTGGTTATTCTATGCTTTCGAAAAGTGATCACGATCCGAAGACAGATGATAGTGTTTTGAATACAGTAGTCGCACCTGACAAAAATTTCGGCAAATACGAGGAGCAGTTTATTTTCTACTTACAACACATCGAAGACAATGGCATTCAAACAGAAGATACGAGAAATTTGACAGATTTGAATAAAATTCCAATTCAAGAACTTACGACAATAAATTCACTCTTTGTTTCGCAACTTCTCCAAGATATTGATTCATCTGTCACACCTGAAATGAACACTGATCAATCAAAAGATGAAGAAAAAAAAGATTCGACGAATAATATTATTTCGATGACTAAAGATGACAAAAGTAACACACTGGATATAAACGATATAGAAAATGTTGATAATTTCAACACGAATATACAGGCATCACAATTAGATGATAATTTGCAACAAACGGAATCACAGAAAATTCATGCGGATACAATAGATAAATTAATTTTGACATCAGATAATGAAGCAAGTTCAAGTAAAATTGATGATATGACAGATTTGAATCCAAATTTGGAAGTAGTTACTACCACAGGAAGCGAAGAGGATTGTACTATTATCGATGATTAACGAGAGGAATTGTTTATTAATGTACAGGTTAAATACTCTTATATTATAATGATAAATTGCAATTAATTATTATGTAATAAAATTATGATTTGGAATTTTTGTACTGAGCGAGTGCAGTGTCTCAGAAACAGTTTACATTGTATCAAAGTTGTACATTTTATTCTTAGATTTTAAAGAGCTCCGACATGAAGTAGAAATCTTCATAAAAGTAATTAAATCCATTCTTTTTGCGTTTATTTAAAATAATCTGTATCTATATATTCTAAATATGTATTTGTATAGGCAATTTTGTCAGAAATTTATTTTGACGAATATCTTAAGAAAGTCGACGAATATCTTACGAAATCTTTAAATTATATGTGTAATTGTAATTGTTTAATTCAATCAGCGAACTAGCAATAAGTAACGTAAGTTTTCTTGGAAATTTATTATTTACTAATCTATTTGCACATCTTGATTCTCTGTTTTTCTTGATAACGTAATATTATTTTTCGATGCTCTATATTTCTATTAAAAAAGAGAATAAAAAAAAGTTTATTAATAATATTAATTTACTGAAACCAAAAAGCTCTTTGCATTAAAATATTTAAATTATATCGAAAGATTTGAAAAAGGGTAGGAATTAAACGTCATAATATATATTTATTTTTTTATATTTTTGCATATTACTGTTCCTAATGAAGTAGCTTTCAATATTTTCAAATCTTAAAATATTTAAGATGACTTAAAAGAATTTTTTTCAATTATGCTTGAAAATTTGTGCGTTAATCCCATAATATTTTTTATTACTATTATTATTCCTATGATAATTATAATATACATTTTGTATATTAACTATTATAGGAATAATCGAAATAAATAATATTATACGTAATATTATTCTTTTAGAAGTCAAACATGTTGGATTTATTTCTTTTCACATTGTATACGTAAAAATTGTACAATATAAAACATTTAATATTTCTCTTTAATCCACAAATAGCGTTTAAAACAGAATAAATATTGAAATATGACTTTATCTATTGAAAATAAACCCAATATTGCTTTTCATTAATGAATAGTAAAAATGAAAGACTTGAATTTTATTTAAATATATGTATATGTATATGTAGTTTGCAATGTTTGCATTACGTTGCAATTCATATAAATTTGTACATAGGAGTGTCAAACTCTATGTAAAGTACATTTAGACTTATAAGTAAGACATTATGCTTTTTCTTATATATTACCGTGATACATTACATTACGTAACAGGTCATTGAACGATGGTTTTTATCTTTTTTGTCATACACATATGCTGTATATGTTATAGATATGAATATGTGTATTTCTCATACTTATGCCTAGGTACATTGAAAATTTATTAGAGAAAGAAGTGTATGAAATAAATAAATTGTTTTATATAACACGCCTACATATTAGACTACCTTAGATTTAAACTAATTTAAACTAATTTATGCAAAATTAAGTTTAAGTTTCATCACAAAATTATTGAATATTTTCTTTCGGTAACTGTAACGTTTCGACTTCGTCGAAATTCTCAGCTTTGAATTAATTTAACATAAACAATCAGTATATAAGGGCATATAGTTGTTTCCTATAAAATGACAACCTTTATTTCTAACATATTTTTATTTTTCTTGTATACACATATATATATACATATATATATATATATCTCAATTCACAGAAACGTAACATTTGTCTAGTCAAGTAGACATCTTATTTTTAGCGTATTGATATTTATTCGATTTGTTACATGTGAAGACGCATGTAAGTAATGATTTCATTAAGGAAAATTATTTATTTTTTAATTGTATATACTCTTCAAGAATTTTGTGAACATAATGATTGTATAAAAAAATGTATTTAATAGAAAATTGAAGAAGCATCAGATAGCATAGCTTTTCGTGGACATTTTGTACATAAAAAAGATTTTTCTATCTGTCTATTTCTACCAATATGCGAAAGATTCGCGTTATGTTACTCGCTGTCATTCGTACTTACACTTATGATTACAAATATATAGAAACTGATGATATAGCTCATAGAACGTACTTGAGCAAGTAGTGGTCCTTGTGATAATGATTTATATAAATAATAACGTTAAAAACAGCATTGGTAATGTCGAGTCAGCTTAAATTAATAAATTAATGATAAATGCGATGCAACGAAGAGAGCACATCGACACTTCGTCGCTGATGACATTTATACGTTGCATTGTGGAATCATTGTTGTAGTGTTGTTTCCTAGAGCTCTTCATTCGTTCGTAACTTCTCAATATCGAAATTGACCTTTTCTGCCCATTCCATTGTGGTACACTCTCAGCGGTGTGTAATTTCCGTTTCCATTCATTGCTACATTTGCAAAATTGTGAAAAAAAATTATGAAAACGATAAAAATTAGAAACATAACGCGTATTCGGAGACAACTGACGGACATAATTTTCCACGATGCATGCAGAAACAGGAAGAATTTCTCAAAAAAATACTGATCTTTTCGTATAGTGATGGATCTCTCCGATTTATCATCGAAACCAGAAAAGCTAGTTCCGCATAGAGAAGATATTACAGGTAACATGTGTTTATATATTACATAAGCCAGTTCCGAAGAACGTGAAATAGAAAAACTTGATCATGTTTAATCACTTACTCAATTCGTAGTCTCTTATGGCAGCTTGCAAAATTGAAAACGAAGTAAGAGGAAATGTGCAAACCTGATTAACAAATGTGCGTGCGAAAAGCTGCTTACCTTGCACGATCGTGGGGGGTTGACGGGGACCTTGGATAGTGTGTGCGTGACATCTTGGCTTTAGTAGACCGTGATACAATACAAAATATAGACAGGCGACGATAGCTGCCGCTACTGCCATACAACGATACACAAATCTCAGCGATTGTACAATGTCGTCGCCGAAATTGATATAAGCACCGATGACGGCCCCGAGGCACCGGCCTGCGCATCGGACAGAGAAATCAATAAGTCAGACTCACTGACCGCACGGTTACGACATAAAATCAGGGAACGTACCGACGCAAAAGTGAGCTATCACAGGTAGCGCTTGGGCAGTCACAGTCAAATGACGCGGTACCAAGTGTCTTAGGTAGAGAATGGCAGTAATCCACATTATTCCTAGGGTGAATACTTCTAAAGCCTCTGAGATTAGAGACCACCAAGGGTCAGATATGAGACTCAGTCCGGTGAACCTGATCAAATTTATCAATTACATTCAAATTTTGAATATTTTTTTAAAATATCTAGTGAATGAAAATATCTAGTAAAAACTTTGTAATTGAAATCTTCCTTCAATTAAACCGATACGATTGTCAGATTAGAAAAAACTTACCTACCTGATTATGTACACCGTGAAGGCAGTGATAAGAAGATTACTGTGTCCACAATAATCTACGAGGTGCTCAGATTTCCAGAGGAACAGAAACGCGGGTATCGCTCCGACGGTCATAGCGACGCCAATGGAAAGTTCATCGCCTCCTAATCTTTGCAGATGCCTGCATCGAAGAAAAGAAAGTTTTTTTCAGAATTGAATGAACGTGTTAATAAATGTTTAAAGTATTTATTTTAATGATTCGAGGCTATTTTAATTGGATTCTTACAAAGGTAGATAACTGTCCATTACGCTCCAGAAGGTCCCCATGACTATGAGGACAAATACCAGGGCAGCAGTCTCGCTACCGTATCTCTTGACAGCGCTCATCGGCAATGCCAACATGCCGCTTCTCGTGTGCCACCACCATTCTGGTGGACTAAGTGGCATGCCGTTCGCCGACAAGGCGACAACAGCCGAGAGAAGCATCAATACGGCATGCAAGACAAACGGCAGCCAGAAAGCTGGCGCGAGTTTGCTCATTAGAGTGTTTAAATAACCAGTCAATGGTCCTAGGAGAGCGAAACCGAGGGAGCCGAAGGCCAATTGACGTCCTACGTCGCCGCGACCGCATGACGTCTCCCTGGTCGCGATCACTACTGCCGCGTCGATCAAGGCAACAGCGGTCGTCGGAAAGATATCTGCGATCGAGCGCACGAATAGATACATCCAAAATGCTGCCTCCGTCCAATCTCCGGTACGTTGGCATTGGCTTTTTACTAGCACGCCGCCTGAAACAGGATATTATCGCCGATATAAAAGAAGATATTCTGTTTCTCCATTGTCAGCACGAGAAGAAAAAAGAAGAGAGAAGAAAACAAACGAAGACAATATACATTTGGAATCTTTCCAGATTTTTATTCGACAATTGCCGCGAGAAACGAGTATCACCTAATATTATCGTATAAAGATATTAAAAATATGATTGTTATGACAAAGAATGAATTTAATGAATATTCTTCGACGTGTATATTGCGTTCCTAATCATTTAATTCAATTTTTTTAATATTTAATTTTGCATTGATTGTGTTACCCGGGAGAGTATACGGGTCGACTAGGTCGCATTCTATGGAACAACTCTGATTGAATTCGGCCATCCTGATTTCCAACTCGGACGGTATGCGACAGGCAAAGTACTCGGCCACAGGATACGCGCACCATTCCTCTTCGTTCTCGGGATTCAACGCTTGTCCGAGGCTACCGTTTACCGGTAGCATGCCGGAATATTCCGTATAAACGTGACAGACGACGTTATCGTTCTCGTCCTTGTAGCACAGATGTGGTGGCTCATTCTCGGCCATGACGTAACGACGAGCTTTTTTCGTCTCATCGCGACTTTCCTGCAGGCATTTAATTTATGTAATTATGTATGTACTGTCTATCTTGCAAACTAATACATTATAAGCCACTGTTGACATATTAAACTTCTAATTACCGTATATGAAAATGCTTGTTTGAGATTAATAAGAAACAAAAAAACGAGAATATATTATAATTATGTTGTACTATCTTGATCTTTTATTTTACTTTGATATTAATCAGTGTAAAATAGTAATATAACATAAATAGCGAGAATGCTAAATTGATTATTTATTTGCTTTTATTACGACTTTTTCTCGATGTTCTTTATAATTGGAAATTTATTTTATCAATTTTTATGATAATTTTAAAACTTATTACATAAATTAATATAAATCAATTATGAAAATGACTTACCTGCGGAAATTCATTGATCAATGGCGCGACAGTCGTCTCGCCGCTGCCGTCGAAATCGGCCTCGGGTTCAACATTGCTCCGGAACGTCGTCGTGCCTGCCAGTTCCGAGTGCCAGCGTCGCCAGCCAGTCGGGTAGCAGGCATAGTTGCAGTTTTCCAGCAACATAGCACCCACACCGCTGTCATCATCAGTCCAACGATGACA